AAGTAATTTGAGATTGTTTTTACACAGGCTTTATTTTTTTCAATTTTTTTTTCATTTATTTCCCACATAACTTGATAGGATCAAATGAACATATGTGTTGGATTTTAATTTGCTCTTAGAAGAGATTAGACTTTCTAAAATACAGTGCGAAGAAATTCAGTTTTCTAAAATACAACGGTAATATTAGACTTTCTACAGGATTAGTATAAACAGTTCTGTTAAATGACGGCTTGCAGTCATTATTTGTGAATGAGAATTGATCATCTTTTCCCAGGTCTTAACAGAGCTGGCTTAGATAGGAAGTTCTGGTTAGTGAGTATTGACCTATACCTTTTTAGGAATAAATTTAATTATGTCAGTCTATATAATTTTTATTGGATAGTGATTTAAGAGCTAAGCAAATTAGGTGAGTCAAAGTGTAATGAATCAAAGTATTATAATGTTACTTACAACTTTTTTCAATTTTATCTAGGTTTGTCTTGAATAGTTAACCGCACTTTAGTGCACTTTCCAGAAATTAATGTCACATTGTTAAGTACAGATAATCTTTAGGCCACATATTTCCTATCAGCTTGCCATCAGTGTTGAGATCTACTGATACTAAAATGGTTTAGGATCATTATGGTTTAAGTGAGTGGGTAGCTGTTTCCAAGGTTGCATTGATAGTTAGATTGCATTGATCTTTTTCAAAACATGCAACCATATAAGCACCTCTCACGTTGTAACCAGTGGTATTTGTGCATTGAAATCTTTTAAGAAATCTTTGCCGTTGTCACAGTATGTTGTAATGTATCAGCAATTTTTTGATTACTGAAATTTGATAAGTAAATACTTGTCTTACTAGATTTGAATTTTGTGATGTCTAGGTAGACAACAGATAGTGTATTAAAGAAATTTGCCCATCATATGGTATTTTCACCGCTTAACCCAACCCAGCTCAGTGGTTAGGTTACTTTTGTAATAGTCTTTTTTCCCTGCTTACATATATCAGATTTTTATTGTGACCTATGTTAACCAAGTTGGTTTCCTAGTTATTATAGAGTTGTTTTTTGTGAGCCAGTGCTTGATATCATTCGGTATATATCACTAAGATAGTCTTTTGAGCCATGGCATGATGCTTTTTTAGTCACTTGATTTAGCAACTATATATAGGATCATGAACTATGTAGAAGGTTACTGAGCTTCGTGTAGTAGGTGTGGGAAAATCTCACATTTCTAAGTCTTAGATCTTACACATTGAGGAGTTGGTACATAGCCTTATGAGAATGTTTTCAGCTCTTTAAGGATCTACAGAAGGAATCGAGGTGCAGACTGAATCTATCATGTAGTCACGGCAGCTATATTTACCTTATGTCATAGAGCAAGGCATGAAGTCTTGGTATTTCTACAATAAGTATAAACTTGTTGAAATGACCCCCCCCCCGTGTCATTTCTCAAATACTTACTCATAAAATTACTTTATTAAAAATAGGATTCTCTGGCTAATTTTAAGCTTAATGCTGTTTTGACCACAGAAAGGAGGCCTGATCTTTGAAGGACATTAATTGCTAAACTACAAATATTAGAGAATAGAGAAAATACACTCAGATTATTTTTACATATCAGTCATTGGCCTATAGATCAAGCTTTCAGTCTGTATACCGATGAATGAATGAAACTTTGAAAACTATGTACAACTATGTAACAGGAAATCTTGATCTGGTTTTGTGCTTAAAATAGAGTGGATGTTGGTTGGGACATCTTTTTTTTTTTTTATGGCCTCTTTGAAGGGAACTTTAAAATAATAAGCGTTTTTAAGTGTAGAGTTCATTGACGTTAAGTACGTTTATATTGTTGTACAACCATCATCACTGTCTGTCTCCAGAATTGTTTAATATATCAAACTGACATCTGTACCCATTCAACAATAATTCCCCATTCCTCCCTTTCCTCAGCACCCCAGTTCTACTTTCTGTCTTCATGACTTTGTTCTAGGTACCTCATACACCTGGAAAACAGCTGATTTTCATAACATAATTTTTGTTTAGATTTCTTATCTCTTCTTTCTACCCCAAGTGTTAAACTGTCTTAATGGAACAGAAGCAAATGAGGAAAAAATTGGTAACTCTAGAGGACTTTATGCTTCTACTTACTAAAAGTTGACGGTTTTATTGGAGTAGTATGTTAGCAAGATCTGAATACTATATTAATTCCTGTTCTTTTTCTCATCCCACTCTAATCTTCACCCTGGGAAAACAAAACCATCATATAATAGCTTAGAAACTTCTCTCTCCCCCCATCCCCCCTTTAAGCTTTTTATATTTCCATGTCACATGGACTTTAATTATATTTGGAGGCTGAAATTGGGTAGAGTTTGGGTCTTCGTTGACCTTTTCATATATCAAAGTGGGTAGATTCTTCTATTTCAAAAGTTAAGCTAACCACTTAAACACCAGATTGTGAGTGTACCTTTTTTTTTTAATTTTTAAAAAATACCTTTTTAAAAAAATGTTTATTATTTTTGAGAGAGAGACAGCATGAGTGGGGGAGGGGCAGAGAGAGAGGGAGACAGAATCCGAAGCAGGCTCTAGGGTCCTAGCTGTTAGCACAGAGCCTGATGCGGGGTTCAAACTCACGAACTGCAAGATCATGACCTGAGCTGAAGTCGTATGCTTAACTGACTGAGCCACCTAGCTGCCCCAATTTTCTTTTCCCTTTTTTTTTCTTTTCCTTCTCTCTTTTCTTTCCTTTTCTTTTCTTTTCTTTTCTTTTCTTTTCTTTTCTTTTCTTTTCTTTTTCTTTTTTCTTTTCTTTCATGTTTATTTTTGAGAGAGAGAGTGTGCGTGAGTGAATATGCCTTTTAAGGAAGACTCATGAAAGTACTTTTTCCTTTTTAAAACACTAAAAGAGGCAAAACATTTTTTAACTTTTTTTCATTAGGTATAATAGAATCGGGTTCTGGGGTCATACTTCTGTGCATGATTGGATTTCAAAAACTAGAATGAGGTATTTTATTAATCATATTTCAAATCCCAGTGTCCTATTCATATACACTGAAGTCTTGGTAAGCAGGAAACTTTGTCTTCTAGGATTTCTGTGGTTTAGTAACATCCATTAGTGTTGTGTTCTTTCCGTCTTAACTATTTCTTATTAAAAAAAAAAAAACAGATTTGCCAGAAAGAAACCTGTTTGTGTTTCTTGATGCTCGAGTTATTTTACACGTGTCATTTTATTAAGTTCATTTTTGTGTATGTTCTTTGGTGTGTTTGAGGGCAGAGGGCCTGAAGGAGATTTTGGGGAAGGGATGGTAGGGTATTATTCAAAGGCTTGAATAAGATCAATTATCTTTATATGTTACATAAAATGACACTCAGGGTTAAATTGGAATGAGACTAGAAAGTGAAATCAATCTTAGGAGGTCACTTTGAGTTTTGATTGCCTATCTGATAGCTCCTAAAACATGCATGAAATTGGTCATAGATTTTGTAATAAAGGAAAAATACTTAATTCTTGTAATTTGAGTGTTCTATTAAATATTTTTGTCCTCTGTTTTATTAAATTTGTCCTCTGTTCTTTTAACAGAGAAAATTGAAAATGTTCATTTAATGTGGCTAAAAATAATAGGATATAAAATGATAGCTGTTGTTTTAGATCTTGGAAGAACAAACTGATTAGAAACAATAATTACATGTAAAAGGTATTTTATTTCTCTTTTGTTCGCATTTTGTAAAAGAGTGAGCTGGGTTTTTTCTAAGTAATATTAAAGCTTGGGGTGCCTGGTAGCTCAGTCAGTTAAGCATCCGACTTTGGCTCAAGTCATGACCTCACAGTTCATGGGTTCAAGCCTCGTGTTGGGCTCTGTGCTGATAGCTTGGAGCCTAGACCCTCTTCACATTCTATGTCTCCCTTTCTCTCTGCCCCCCACCCTCAAAAATAAAATAAAACATTAAACAAAAAAAGAAATGAAAGTTTAAGGGATCCATAAGAATCATCCAATCCCTTCCTGACTTTAGATGGTATTATCTCTTGCTTTATACAAAATCTTTTTGTATCATTTTACTGCAAAAGGAATCTAATTCCTTAGTAAAGCCAGCCCCTTCCCCCACTCCTGCATGTAAATTATATTGCCTTCTGGCTCTATTTAGAATATATTTGGCTGATTTTAATTTACCTTACTACTAACTGAATTTTCCTTATGCATACTTAGATTCTGTCAGGTTACATTGCATTTTTTTTTTGCAGTAGATTTTATAATTTACTTACAGAAAATTTTAATGGATCATTTGCACACTTTAGTGTGAAATGTTAGTGACCAGATAAGTACAAGTATCTTTATACTGTCACACAAGCTGTCAAAGGTGTAGGCCATGAATAACTTCAGAAAAATACGTTGCTGCATTTGGTCAAAGAAATTGATGAAAGTGAAGAACACTTAACACTACTCTTGGTTCTCAGGTTTGTACCAGTCTTTTCCATTCTGGGCATTTTGGAGGAGTTGCCTTAAAGTTGACAGTTTGAATGAGTGAGGATTTCTGAAGGACTTCTCAACAGAAAGCCCAAACCTATAAAATTGAAATTTTAGACCTCTACATCTTTTGTTGGGTCATTGTAAATTTGAAGATTCTTTGGTAGTCCAAAAATATTCTGATTTAATTTAGTTTAGTTTAATTTAATTTAATTTAATTTAATTTAATTTAATTTAGTTTTGTTTGAGAGAGAGCCAGGGAGGGATGGGGGTTGGGGGAGAAGGAGGGGAGAGAGCGAGAGGGAGAAAGAAAGAAAGAGAATCCAAAACAGGCTACACGCCCAGCATGGAGCCTGATGTGGGTAACCCTGAGTTGAAATCAGGGAGTCGATCGCTTAACTGACCAAGCCACCCAGCCACCTCCACAAATATTCTTTTAATAACTGTGTGTTTTGATTTGATTTTTAAAGATAGTTTGGCAGAAAAATTTATTTGGTGGCAGTTATTTTGAAAAGGGGCCTCCAGTGTCTAATATAAACCCAGTTTTTCTGTTAAATAGTTTAGAGTATCATCTTGCATTTTCATTGTATTTTGGAGTTAGCAAATGTGTGCTCGTAGTGTCTGTTTGATGAGAAAGAAAATAGACGCTTAAAGAAATGATTCTTCCAAGATTACAAAGCTGCAAAGTATGAAAGCTCTGTATACAATTCAGGTCATTTACTTTGTGCTATTTTTGTTACATCTAATAACCTAATATAAGTCTGTCTATTATGAGAGACTAGACTATGTACCTATGTGCCTCAGTATTCTGATTAGTATAGCTAGATCTTAATTCATTTTTTTTTTAGAACTTAATTCATCTTAAGGTATTATAGAGGAAGCATGATAGATTTTATGCTTGAATAATTCCTTTCACATTTGGATTAGATTCCTGTGGTGTTTGGTTTTCAGAGTTAATTTTTACAATGAAGAAGTTTCTAAAAATTGATTATGAGAATGTTTTTCATATATTGTGCATCTAAAAACTCTCAAGTTTGAAGAAAGACCCTTCTGTCAGATTTTAACTCTTTATCAAAGGGTGTCCTAACATAGATTAGGGAAAGAAATTCAGCTTTTAACAGTTTTGTGATTTTTGTGGATCCATGGTGTGGAGTTTTAGTGCCTGTTTTGTCTTTGTGCAAGTTTAGTGCTTCCTCTCCCCCTCTCTCCAAACCCCAAAATTATTTTCTAAATATTTCACCCCAGTATAGCTAAATATAGTTAGCTTTGGTCTCTTTACACTTACTTCCATTTCCTATAAAATTCATTAGGTTGAAGGTTATGGTTTTTCTTTGAACCTGAAGGTGTTGCTCTAATAGCGTTACTAGACATTATTTCATCTAGAGTCTGGACCATAACTACTCATCTTGAAGGCTATTATCTGGTGGAATTACAGTCTGCCATTGTCTCCATATTTGTGTTTATTTCTAGGAAAAAAAAATTGCTAGTCAGAGATTGTTGTTTCTTTCACATATAGTGGTTGGCTAATGTAAGGGGCAGTGTTTGAATATTTATCTTCTTGTTTCTTTGAGAGTAACTCAGCACAGAGGTTACTTAAGAGTTAAGACAACAGAATTCTTCACTGTTTTAAAAATTATTACATAAATGACGGTAGATTTGTTTACAGTTACTTTAATGCATCTCTCTTTATGTGGTATGGCTTGTGAGAGAATTTTAAATCAATCTCTGATTCCTATTTATTGCTTGAAAATTTAAGATTCAGAGTTGTCAGGAAGTTGATAGATAGCACTACTGATTATCTGCATGTGATTATTAAACATTATTGAATTAATTTCCACAACACAATTCATGTAGTTTTGAAAACATATTTTCCTTTTTTTGGATTCATTTTAAAAAGTAGCTTTGAATTCTGGGAACTTGTGGAATCATTTTGTAAACACAAACTAGGGTCAAGGATTTTAAATATGAAGGAGGAAATGTTTTGATTTCTGTGTCTGTTTAATTAAAAGAAATGAGCCAATTTATAGAGGAATCAGGATACATGATAACTCTATAAACAGTCATATCAAACAGCAATAGCAGTATTGCCTTGTTAGACCTATCTAATATAAAATGACTTTGGTTTTGAGTAAAAATTCAGTTATTTTAGACTGTTGATTTTTCTAGGCTTTAAAAAAGGTTTATTTTAAACTGTTTAATGATGCTTCATTTTTGCATGTATCTTCATTCTATTCTACATGTAGTATGTTACAGTCTTGAAAGTATGGCTCTGTTTATAATTACTCTTCCCTTAGAAAAGAACAGAGCTTATATATAAGTGGCTCTTTGAAGGCTATAACTACAGTGGATTCAGACTTCTTTTACTGGTGTTGGGAAGCAATTTTAAATGTTCAGTTTGATGGAAATACAATCAGTTAGAAACTTGATATGTCACTAGTAAGAAGATGATAAAGATTAGATTGTTAGTTAGACTGGTATTTTCCAAACCCAGTCATACTCAATTACCTGAATCCAAGAATGTGGATCTGTTATGATAAACAGCTTATGCCCATTGCTTTTACAACTGTATTAATTTAACATTTTGTATTAGATTTTGTTTCATAAGATAATGGGAAATAATTTTTAAAGAATAGAACAGTATAAAAATAAGTATTAGCATGCATATGAGAATAAGGAATCTAGAGCAGAAAATTTTAACTTAGTAATTTAATTTCTATACTCATTTTCTGACATTCATCTTCAGAGATTAATATTTGAGTATTTTGATTTATTTTCATTATTTCTTTATACCATTATATTTTCCTGTTATAAATAATACATGTTAGTTCCCTCATGCAGTAAATACAAAATAATGGTGTATAGTTCTGGTTCCAAGGGTATATTGTTAATATTTTGAATTTTGCCTTCTGAGTGACACTTTGGGATTGGTTTTTCAGTCCCCATTGAGGGAATTGGACAGCAGCCTTAAGGGGAAAGGGTTGACACTGTGCTTTTCATACTGGAAGTTCAGAAGTTTAACTATGTTAAGCATTTTGATTGACTCCTACATTAATGGCTCTTTCTGTCAGTTAAAGACTTGCAGCATGGTAATTTGAACATACAAGGAATAAAACTCTGTTGAAATAAGTGATGAAAATTATTATGGCTCTTCTTTTAACAGGTATTTGTTTGCTTATGGAAAGGTTGTAAAGTATATAACACTCCATCAACCAGTCAGAGTTGGTTACAGAGGCATATGCTGACACACAGTGGAGACAAACCTTTTAAGGTAAGTAAGTATATGAGTTGTTTTTAACCTTTAGTTGATGTATTTCTTTGAAAAAATGTTTTTAAACGTTTATTTATTATTGAAGGACAGAGAGAGTCAGAGCGTGAGCAGGGGAGGGGCAGAGGGAGAGGGAGACACAGAATCTGAAGCAGGTTCCAGGCTCTGAGCTGTCAGCACAGAGCCCGACGCGGGGCTCGAACTCACAAACTGCGAGTTCATAACCTGAGCCGAAGTCAGATGCTTAACCGACTGAGCCACCCAGGTGCCCCTGGTTGATATATTTCTTAATGGGCATATTTTTGCCCTTCTAGCAATGTTTAAAAATATTTCTGTAGATACATGGAATTTAAAAAAGCAATGGAGGTAAAGATAATTTAATCCAATTTGTAAAATTTGGAGAACAGAAAAAAGTCACTGGAGGGTGGATTGAGAATAGCTAATGGGCAGACCTGTTTGAATGCATGTCTTTAAAATTGGTGGCTTTTAATACCTTGTGATGTGTGTTTTCACCGCTATAGGTTTCAGCCTTTTTATTAGCAAACAACACTGATTATTAATAATTCCAAAAAGTGAAATTGTACAACGTTAAGGAAATTGATTGCTTTCACTCAGGTTTGAGGTCATGGTACTGAGTTTAGTTGTAAATTACTGTGTCAAATAGATGTATTCTGAAAAATTGTATGAAGAACCAGTTCTGTAAAAACCGTTTTTCCATTTATCTTCATTAAAAATTAAACAAAATATTTTGGTTTGTAATTATGGAAAGCATATACCATAGAGGTTAAAAGTTTGTGTTTAGAAAACTTTAATAGCTGTTAAACCCATAATTTACTGGTATGTAAATACCGTGCCAGAAACTTCCCTTGGGTTTCATTAGAGAAGGAGGTAATTCTTATGGAGCTGCTTTTTAAAAAATTAGTTTATTTTGAAAAGACAATCTTTAACAAGTTAAAAAAAATTTTTTTTTAAATTTTTAATGTTTAATTTTGAGAGAGAGAGAGAGACACAATGCCAGCAGGGGAGGGGCAGAGAGAGGAGACACAGAATCAGAAGCAGGCTTCAGGCTTTAAGCTGTCAGCACAGACCCCAATGCGAGGCTCAAACTCAGGCACCATGAGATTATGAGCTGAGCTAATGTCAGACTCTCAACAAACTGGGCTACCAGGCGCCCCAAGTTGAAAAAAATTTTTAAGGAAATTATTTATGTAGAGAAATCTTGCTCCCTTTTCTTCTTTCCTTCTTCCCTCTTCCTCAAATATGTAACCACTGTTACTAGTTTCTAGTGAATTCTAGTATTTCTTTATGAACCAATATATGTAGTTTCATTCTTCTTTCTTACACAAAATCCAGTAAACTATATACCGTCTGTACTTTATTTCTAACTATTTTTTTAAAATGTTGGTTGGTTGGTTGGTTGGTTGGTTGGTTGGTTGGTTGGTTGGTTGATTTTGAGAGAGAGTGAGAGAGAGCGTGCACAAGCAGGGGAGGGTCAGACAGAGAATCCCAAGCAGTCTCTACACTGTCAGTGCAGAGCTGTATGCAGGGCTCAAACTCAGGAACCGCGAGATCATGACCTGAGCCAAAATTAAGTGGGATGCTTAACCGACTGAGCTACCCAGATACCCCTGTAATTTTTTTTTTTTTTTAATGATTTTATTTTTAAGTAATCTCCATACCCAGTGTGGGACTCAAACTCAAATCTCTGAAATCAGAAGTCGCATGCTCTACTGACTGTGCCAGCCAGGCACCCCATATACCTTATTATTTTTTTCTTTAATCAACCTTTTATTTTAGAGCAGTTTTAGATATACAGTAATATTACAAGGATTATAAAGTTCCCTTATACCCTATGCCAAGTTTCTCCCACTGTTAACCTCTTTCTTGCATGTATGTGTACCTTGCTTTTTAAACTTACTGTATTCTAGAGATCTTTCTATATTTGCTCCTAGAGAGTATTCTTTCAGTTTATTTAACCAAATTTGTATAGACACTTGGGTTATTTCTAGTCTTTGGCTATTATAAATAGTGCTGCAGTGATAAATCTTGGAACATACGTGTCATTTTGTACATGTGTAAATATATATGGAGGAAGAATTCCCCGAAGTGACATGAGTGGGTGGATCAAAGGCTATATAAGCATTGATGATTTTGATAAATCTTGTCAAATTGCCCTCCTTAGGGTTTGTGTCCTCATCATCATTGTTAGAACGTCTGCCTTCTCAGTAGCTGGGCTAAGATAAGAAGGTGTTCTCAAACTTTTGGATTTTTGCCAATCTAATAGATTAGAAATTCCATCGTTGTGTAGGTTTTTTTCTTGTTTTCATCCTAATGTAGTTTTAATTTGCTTCTCTTTCATTATGAGGAAGTTTGGGTATCCTTTTTTCTTTCTCTTTTTTCTTTTTTTAATGTTTGTTTTTGAGAGAAACAGAGGATGAAGAGGATAGTGGCAAAGAGAGAGGGTGACACAGAATGCGAAGCAGGCTCCAGACTCTGAGCTGTCAGCACAGAGCCCGATATGGGGCTCGAACCCACTAGCTGTGAGATCATGACCTGAGACGAAGTCAGATGCTTAACTGACTGAGTCACCCAGGCGCCCCTGGTTATCTATTCTTATGTTTAACTATTCGGGTTTATTTTTCTTTCTTTTTAATTTTGTCTATTTACTTTAAAATTTTTTTTTAATTTTTATTAAGCAAGCTCTGTGCCCAGCATGGGGCTTGAACTCATGATACTGAGGTCAAGAGTCTAATGCTCTACTGACTGAGGCAGCCAGGAGCCCCTCTTTATTCTTTTTTAAATAAATGATCTCATTGACCTTTCTGTTGGCATGTGGGTCTTATAACTTTAACACCCTAGTCTTTCTTGGGGTCTTACTATAGATCCTACCCCTGGTATGTTCTGGAAGTGTATGATCTGGGACAGTTTTTAAACTTCCCATTAAGATGTAGCTAGTAAGAATAGTTACCTCATGGAGCCATACAGTATGTATCCAATAAACATAAGAGATTATTGTTGTTAAAGTGAAAGAATCATTTACTTTTTTACTGTATTTGTATATGTTTTTCTTTAAGGCAGCAATCCTCCTGGTTGATTGTGATGTGCAGATTGATTTCAAAGCCTGTCAAATGCTTTTTTTCTCCCAGATCCTCCTTTTAGAAACTGTAGAAGATTCCCATTGGAGAGGGGGAATGAAGTTGTCTTTAAAAGATAAAAGTTGGGGCGCCTGGGTGGCTCAGTCAGTTAAGTGTCTGACTTTGGCTCAGGTCATGATCTTGCTGTTCGTGAGTTCAAGCTCCACCTCAGGCTCTGTGCTGACAGCTCAGAGCCTGGAGCTTGCTTCAGACTCTGTGTCTCCTTCTCCCTCTACCCCTCCCACCACGTATACTTTTCTCTCTCTCCCTCAAAATAAATAAACATTAAAAAAAAAAAAAAAGAAGTTAAGGAGTATGAATTAGTGAGGCATTGTTCTGTAAGTCATAGGAATCATTTAAATTCAGAAAGCATTTATTGATATCTGTAGTACATGGCAGTGTGCTAGGCACTTTGGAAGCAAGGTAAATAAGATCTAAATTTAAGTAATGAAATGTTTTATGTGTTTTAATAGTGACGTATGAAAGGTTCTATGGAAACTTAGATTAGGTATCAATTAAATACTATAATAGGGACTGTGGAGGAATAGTAGAAGGTAAGTGGGAGTCAGCTATAGAAAGAAGGTCATGAGGTGATGATGTTTGAGGTGAGTCTTTTTTTTTTAAAGTTTTTACTTATAATGTATAATAAAGTGTCTTAAGTATACTTAAGTGTTCAACAGTGTAAAGATATGTTTCATATGTGTGTATGCACCTGTGATGTATGCACCTGTGTCACCACCACCCTGATGAAAAATATTTTTTAGTAAAATAGAATTTCTTTAATGACCCTTTCCAATCTATTCTTCTCCTGTCCTCTGTTTTCCCCCGCAGGTCATATTATGATTTTCCAGTCTATTCTGTCCTCTGTTATTCTCCTCAGGCCATATTAGATTTCTGTCATCTGGTTTAGTTCTGGCTGTACCAGTTTATTTATTTACATTTTAAATGGTTATTTATTTTTGAGAGAGAGAGGGAGGTGGAGAATCCCAAGCAAGTGCTACACTGCCAGTGAGGAGCCTGACACAGGACTTGATCCCATGAACCATGAGATCACGACCTGAGCCAAGATCAAGAGAAGGATGCTCAACCGACTGAGCTACACAGGCACCCCAGAATAGGGCATTTTTAGCTTTGGAAATGACAAACTCTTCTCCAAATTGGTCATATTATTTACATTTCCACCAGCAGTGACTTAGAGTTTTTAGTTGCTCTATCTTATATTATCAAATGTCTTTTAATTTTAGCCATTCTGGTGGATATATAAGTGGTATCTCATTTTTGCTTTCATTTTTATTTCCCCAGTGAATAATGATGAGCACATTTTCATGTGCTTATGGCTGTTTGAATTTCCTGTTTTGGGGAAGTGCCTATTTGAACCCATAAACCATGAGATCATGACCTCAGCCAAAATCAGATGGCTTAAGTGACTGAGCCACCCAGGCGCCCCTATTGTATAAATTTTTATATATTTTGGATATAAGTTCTTTGTCAGTTATATGCACATCCCTTCTGTGTTTGGTTTCCTAATGGGATTTTTTTGAAAAAGTTTTAAATTTCAATGAAATCTAATTTATCAGCTTTTTTTTTTTAAATATATGAAGTTTATTGTCAAATTGGTTTCC